TTAGTTAGTGAGGTTAAGAGTTTTCTTAGATTATCCCATTGTTATTGGAGATTTATTGAGTAAATTTCTAAGATAGCATTATCTTTGAGCAGATTGACTAAGAAGAGTGTTGTCCTTGTGGGAGATAGTAAGTACGAGAGTAGTTTTCCAAATTCTTAATGAAAGATTGACTAGTTCACCAGTGTTATCATTGGCCAATCTTAGTAAGTCTTTTGTGGTATATGTTAATGTTTCTAAGATAGGTTTGGGTGGAGTGTTGATGCAAGAAGGAAAGGTAGTAACTTATGAGTCTAGGCAATTGAGAATTCATGAGAGGAATTACCTTACCCATGACCTTGAGTTAGCGATTTTAATATTTATGCTAAGATTTGGAAACACTACCTATATGATTCTAAGGTTGAGGTATTTAGTGATCATAAGAGCTTTAAATATCTTTTGACCAAAATAGATAGTTGGAATTTCTTAAGGAATAAGATTTTGATCTTATTTGTTATTTGGCCAAAGCCATTGTGGTGACCGATGTTTTGAGTAGGAAACCTTTATATTTATCTTCCCTTATGATTAGAGAGATGGATCTTTTGGCTCAAATTAGGGGTTTAAGTTTGACTGGTAAGATTACTCCTAGTAATGGGAAACTAGGTATGACTCGAGTAACAAGTGGATCGTTGAAAGAAATTGGAGAAGCATAGTTAATTGATTCATTTTTGGTGTCAAGATATGAGGCTATAGGACAAGGTAATGGATAAGAGTTTGCCTTAGGTATAAATGGAGTAGTAAGACTTTGAGACCGAGCATATGTACCTAGTGAACTTATGCTTAGGTGTTTGATCTTTGGAGAGAGGCATAAAAGTAAAACTAAATATTGTGACAGATGCCTTGATTAGAATGACCATTCACCTATCATCCTTGATGATTTAAGGGTTGGATTTGATTGAAGAATTTAGAGACTTAAGCTTGGCGAGCGAGCTTACCCTTAAGAGCATGGAATTGGGTATATTGAAAGTGACTAGTGAGTTAATGGAAGAGATTAGAGAAAACAAGAGTCAGATCCTTTCTTAGTGAACCAAGTGGAGAAGATTGGTAGGGGTATAGATTCCCCTTACGAGTGGAAGTTGATGGTGTTTTGGGGTTCAAGGATAAAATCTATGTGCCTAGTAACCCCAACTTAAGGAAGATGATCTTAGAGGAAGGATATAAGAGTACTCTTAACATTCATTTAGGAGCTACTAAGATGTATCAGAGTGGTGCAGCGGAAGCATAGTGGCCTAAGGTGAAAAGAGGAATAGAGGAATTTGTGTACTCATGTTTGGTATGCTAGAAGTCTTTAGGACTTTTGCAGCCTTTAGACGTCCCATTTTGGAAGTGAGATGGTGTGTAGATAAACCTTGGTTGTAGGCTTGCCTAAGATGATTACAAAATTTGATTCTTTTTGGGTTATAGTGGTTAGACTCACCAAGTTTACTTGCCTTACCCTCGTTGATAATAGATATTCCTTGGTGAGATTGTTAGAGTTGTACATGAGTAAGGTAGTGAGGTTGTAACGTTGTAGCCTTGGACGTTATCTTTCCAATGGAACTGGAATCAAGTAAAAAGGAGGTCTAGAACTCCAGTTATAGCTACTTTGGTGATCAAAGGTCTAGTTGTAAGCGCCGAATATATCTGCTGTGGTTTTTGAAATTTTTAGCTAAGAAGATGATCTTTTAGAATCTTATGTCTTCATAAGAGTTGTACAGCTTATTCTCTTAGCTTTCTTTTGAGATAGGTTTGAGATCATTTGGATGAGTATAACTCTCTGTGTGTCATTTGCTTTGACAGTTGTTGAAGGGAGGTATATGCTGTCATGATATTTTTGAGTCGTTAGGCATAACAAGGATAAAAATTGATTTGGATATGATGTTCTAAGGTGTTTTCATTGAGAGGTTGTTTAAGATGGTATGATGCTATGTGGTAAGGTTGGTTCATGTACATGCTATATGGTGTAAATGGTGATTGATTCATATATGCTTTGGAATGGTATATATGAATGTTTAAATAGGTATTCTAATATGATTCGATATGCATGTGTGTTGATATGAGGATAGATGACTTTATGGATCAATTAGTGAATGTTTGTGTGTATAGTAAGATCAACCTTAGGGTGTGATATCATCATATTGGAATTGAGTGTGAGAATATATCCAAGACAGCTTTAAACTAATTTATCTAAGTGTGATTTTTTATTGTATGAAGTGAATTTTATAGGTCTTGTAATTTCTAGCAGAGGTATAATATATATCTATTTAAGGTTGAAGTTGTGCTTAAGTGGGAGATACCTAAGTTAGTTAGTGAGGTTAAGAGTTTTCTTAGATTATCCCATTGTTATTGGAGATTTATTGAGTAAATTTCTAAGATAGCATTATCTTTGAGCAGATTGACTAAGAAGAGTGTTGTCCTTGTGGGAGATAGTAAGTACGAGAGTAGTTTTCCAAATTCTTAATGAAAGATTGACTAGTTCACCAGTGTTATCATTGGCCAATCTTAGTAAGTCTTTTGTGGTATATGTTAATGTTTCTAAGATAGGTTTGGGTGGAGTGTTGATGCAAGAAGGAAAGGTAGTAACTTATGAGTCTAGGCAATTGAGAATTCATGAGAGGAATTACCTTACCCATGACCTTGAGTTAGCGATTTTAATATTTATGCTAAGATTTGGAAACACTACCTATATGATTCTAAGGTTGAGGTATTTAGTGATCATAAGAGCTTTAAATATCTTTTGACCAAAATAGATAGTTGGAATTTCTTAAGGAATAAGATTTTGATCTTATTTGTTATTTGGCCAAAGCCATTGTGGTGACCGATGTTTTGAGTAGGAAACCTTTATATTTATCTTCCCTTATGATTAGAGAGATGGATCTTTTGGCTCAAATTAGGGGTTTAAGTTTGACTGGTAAGATTACTCCTAGTAATGGGAAACTAGGTATGACTCGAGTAACAAGTGGATCGTTGAAAGAAATTGGAGAAGCATAGTTAATTGATTCATTTTTGGTGTCAAGATATGAGGCTATAGGACAAGGTAATGGATAAGAGTTTGCCTTAGGTATAAATGGAGTAGTAAGACTTTGAGACCGAGCATATGTACCTAGTGAACTTATGCTTAGGTGTTTGATCTTTGGAGAGAGGCATAAAAGTAAAACTAAATATTGTGACAGATGCCTTGATTAGAATGACCATTCACCTATCATCCTTGATGATTTAAGGGTTGGATTTGATTGAAGAATTTAGAGACTTAAGCTTGGCGAGCGAGCTTACCCTTAAGAGCAAGTGGGAGATACCTAAGTTAGTTAGTGAGGTTAAGAGTTTTCTTAGATTATCCCATTGTTATTGGAGATTTATTGAGTAAATTTCTAAGATAGCATTATCTTTGAGCAGATTGACTAAGAAGAGTGTTGTCCTTGTGGGAGATAGTAAGTACGAGAGTAGTTTTCCAAATTCTTAATGAAAGATTGACTAGTTCACCAGTGTTATCATTGGCCAATCTTAGTAAGTCTTTTGTGGTATATGTTAATGTTTCTAAGATAGGTTTGACAGAACTTGTAATCGAGAGATATCTCCGTGTAAGAGAGAGCCTAGAGTGAGAAACTCCTCATTCTCTCTTGCCTTTGTAATTTCTCTTCAATCAATACAACAATTTTGTATTAAACTTATTTTGCATTTCATCTTCATAAAAATTTGTTGTGAAAACCTGGGATTTGTAAGCCTGATTCGTCAGGTGTGCCCTTGATATCCAGTATTGTGCGGACTACCGCCGAGTAAATCTGGTTCATTGTTGCATGTTCTGCATATTCCTTCTTTTCCCCTTTTTCTCCTAGATCCACTTCGGGACTTCTGAGGATGAATTGCACTATCTCCCTCTTCAAACCTTGATTTAAATTGATTGTATCCTTCTTTGATGTCCTGGGGAAGGATACTTTGGATTGGTCCAAAATATTCCCACCATTCAGAAAACCACTGAGGGAAGAAATATCGGATTTTTTGTTTAAAATAGATAAGCCAAGAATGCTTATGATTTTTGTTCTGTAACCAGAAAACATAAGTCCAAGCATTAATGTAATCCCAGTAGTTATATCCTATTGGATCAAAAGGCTGGGAAAACTTCCTGACTTGATTTGGTTTGTTTTCAAAATCTTTGAAAGTTAGAACTTTAAGAATTTGAAATGTTGAATGGGTGATAAACTGGTTATCCCCCTTTTGAAAATTGTGTTTTACAGAAACAGATTTAGTATCCACCAAAATAAATTCATAAAATGTCCTGGTCTTATTAAGACTCAGGTATATATATATATATATATATAATTTCTAATTAATAATTTGTCAAAAAAATCAACGAGTCATACTTTTGAAAATGATGTCTTCAAAAAATTCACAAACTTGTATCTAATATATGCAATATTGGAGATGAGGTGAAAAATTAGGGTTTAAATAATTTTGAAGTTAAAAATGTAAAAAGTAAGGTTTAAAACCTAATAAAAATGAGCCGATGAATATCTTGATTACTAGAGAAAAAACTCAAAAAAGAAAAAAATAAAAAGTAAAAATATAAAAATAAGTAAGGTAGCATATGAAAAGTGGTTAGAGAAAAATAGAGTAGCCAAAGAAAAAAATGTAGAGGAAGTTAGAGAATGAAGAAGATAATTTTTAAAAATAAAATTTATTTTAAAAAATTAAATTAAAAATATTTAAGGAAATTTTTGAAAAAAATAGATGAAAAATGTCTCTATTTAAAAGGAGAGGTGCATAAGTTTATTTTTTTTAAAATAAATTAAAAAATATTTTAATATTTTTTTTTTTAAACAGAGAGGGGGAGTGTATATATTAAAAAGGGAGGTGTACATGACATTTAACTCATTTCTGCCAGCTTGCGTTGGGCTATTCTTCATACTCTAATGCCCTTCCTTGGGCCTGTGTTTCAGTTTTAGCTTTAGAGCTATTTTAATCCTTATAACAAAAAAAGAAAAAACAAAACGTTAACCTAAGCCCTTTTTGCCTCATATAAATAAAATAAAATAAATAAATAAAACCCTATTTCGTTCTAACTTTCTAGGGTTAGTTTCTGCCTCAACCCAGACGTAGCCATGGGAAGAAGTAAGCAATTACCACCTTTCCCTTTCGTAAAATCTCCATTTTTCGTTCACTACGTTGAACAAAATGCTGAATTTTTTGTTTTTAAATGGAATATGTTGCTGTTATGTGATGTTCGTTTGTCGTTGCTGCAAATGCAATGTAAATCTAAGTTTCATTTGAAATAACTTTGAAATTTAGGATTTGATTTGATTGGAAGGTTGTTTTTCTATTATGTCTCAAATTACTATCTCATGTTTTGTTCTTCTTGTGTGTGTCTGTGCTTTTATTGTAATTATGGAACTGGATATGGTAATCATGAATGGTTACGGTTTTTGATTTAGGACCTGCAAGGTGTTATCGACAAATTAAGAACAAGCCGTACCCGAAGTCGCGGTTTTGCCGTGGTGTTCCTGATCCCAAGATCAGGATTTATGATGTTGGTATGAAGAAGAAAGGTGTTGATGAGTTTCCCTTCTGCGTGCATTTGGTTAGTTGGGAGAAGGAGAATGTTTCCAGCGAGGCGCTGGAAGCTGCTAGGATTGCTTGCAACAAGTACATGGCGAAATTTGCTGGAAAGGATGCATTCCACTTGAGGGTAAGGGTGCATCCCTTCCATGTTCTTAGGATCAACAAGATGCTTTCGTGTGCCGGAGCTGATAGGCTCCAGACGGGTATGCGAGGTGCGTTTGGAAAGCCGCAGGGTACTTGTGCCAGAGTGGCTATTGGCCAGGTCCTCCTTTCTGTCCGCTGTAAGGACAGCAACAGCCACCATGCACAAGAGGCCCTTCGTCGTGCTAAGTTTAAGTTCCCTGGTCGCCAAAAGATTATTGTTAGCAGGAAGTGGTATGTATCTGGAAACATGGATACTAATCTTACATTCTTTCCACAGTTCTTCAATTTTAGTTTTGAAAAGTAACATCTATTGTAGATATGTTTGAACTGTTTTGTGTATGGTTTTAACTCTAGGTATTATTGTTTTAAATTCTTGTGTAGGGGGTTCACCAAGTTTAATCGTACTGATTATCTGAAGCTCAAGTCAGAGAACAGGATTATGCCTGATGGTGTGAATGCCAAGGTAATGTAGAGATGGTCTGAGAATGCAATACACTGTAATTGAGACTGTATGGGACATATATTTCATCATGCTGAGGATGTTTATTCCTTGTTAACTTGGATCTTCGGAGGTGCATTGAAATGTGTTTTTGAATGAAATTTGCCTTGTCTTCAATTAGTACCTTTCTTTAATTGTGCTTCTGACTTGCAAGTTTTGTGATTTTGCAGCTTCTTGGATGCCATGGACCATTGGCTAACCGCCAACCAGGAAGAGCCTTTTTGTCTGATGGTGCTACTGCATAGACTCTTTGCTACTCAGAAATACTAGACTTATGAATCATATTGGTTTCACAAGAGTGAATTTGAGTTTCTTGTTATGTCTACACATTATTCTAAAATAAGTTGTTAATTTTTATTTTTTTGGAATCACCTTGAATGGATAATATTAATGTTATATTTCGTTATGGGCTACTTTCTATTCCTTCTCTTTAGAATTATATATTTGATTGTTGGTCACCAAATATTGGGTAACATACATAGTACTGTTTTATTAACCAGAGATAATTAGTACTCTTACAATATGAAAATTCTTTTTCTTTGCTGTATAAAATCAATGTGGCTATATAGACATTGGGCATTCATTGACAAAAACAATATCATGTTTTGGGAACACACGATCTGATCTGACTATCTAGTTTGAAAATAGATGGGTTGCACAACTGGTTGCTTTGATTTCTCTTGGTGTGCCCTTACTGCTCTGCTGTTCTAACCTTATAGCTCTTGTTTGATAGCTTTGTGGGAGTTATAATTTCTTGTGATCATTAGCTTGTCATATTGCTGAAGGATATAGGTCATGGCGATGACAGATAATTGACAATTGCCCCAAACCCTGAACATTTCTTATTGAAACTCAAAACCCCATTGTTGTGTTGTTTATTTTCTATTTCCCTTTTGTGCAAATAAATGACATATTTTCCCTAGTATTTTGCATTACAAAGAGTAATTTGTGGTTTTGTTTTTTCTCTCCTTGAAAAATTAAAATTATAAGTTGGCTCTAAAAATCAGCCTTTTTCAAGTGAATCTCTAGAACCATTGAGCTGGAACTGGAAAATAACTGTTTAATTGCTACTCAGCTTTGCTTGTTTCCTGGGAAAATTCAAGGGCTGTGGAGGATATCTTTGGAAGGGTGCCTTATTGGCTCTGGTTTTAAAGGGAGGACTTTGTAGCAAATTAGTACCAATAAGTAATAAATTTAAATTTTCTCACCCTGTTATTGTGGGCAGTAATGCCTAGGTAGGTGTTTAATTTTAATTTGTTGAGCTATAAATTTTGAACTGATAGGGTTATATGCTGAAAATGAACAAGTAACAGCTACAGAATCATAAAGGTTTGCTTAAACCAAAGGTCTGTGCTTTCATGGAATTTTGTTATAGCTTCACTCATTCATAGCCAATTGATTGTTTATTTACAAATTGCATCAACTGATAGGAGATGATGACAAGTTATCATCATCTGCTGCTAAACTGTTTCAATGATAATTTTCCTCTTGGATGCAGATTACATATATTTATACCTGACTTTTTTTTATGCAATCATTTTGTACTTTGTGTTGCTTCTATAGAAAATAAGCATTTGGAATTGGATGGAGAATGTTTTGGTTGGCAAAACATTTTTATTGATTGGTTGAATTGAAGCTACGTTGATTTGTAAATATGCCATTGATCGTGTATCCTTGAGCTCTCTGTTGCCTTCTCCTCTAACGTGTGTTAATTAACTTTCCAAAACTTAAAACCAGCTTCAATTGCATACCGGAATTACAGCTTGCACCATTTTCAGTGCTATGGAAAACCCTTGTTTCTTAAATTTTCCCATGCATCTCATTCAAATTCTGATTGAGCATCAACATATATGGTAAAAACCAATTTCTTCTTACATGTTATTGTGAGTTAAATGTCCTGAATGGTCTAATTGTAGGAGCATAAATTGTTCCTGGCCTCTAAATTGTCCTGAATGAAATGCTGATGAACCAGCTATTGTCTAAAATGTTTATGGCTAGCTGCTACCTGAGTGTGTGTACAAGACTGAATTACTGCATGAATTGTTTGTTTGCAATTGTTGCTTAAGGTCCTGATTATGCTCTGACCATTCTTATGCACTAATTCGATCAATCATCTCACAAGGTGGACTTGGTTCTTAGGTATCATCTTTTAAATCATGAATTCAAGTTTCGTCTATAGTTCATATGCAATGGTATAGGTTAATACATGTGCTCAAACAAGCTTCATTCAATTAAGTTCAAAATCATATATGGTGATTGCACCAGTTTAGGAGCTCCTATTCCTTATCATTCTTTCCTTTTAGCTTATTCCTGATTTTTATTTGTTTTTGCAAATATTTGCAATAAAAATGGATCTCTATCATCGATTTCCAATAAAAAGTAATTTTCTATAGTAAATTTAAACAAATCTTTACCTTAAAGTGATGGTATTTTCCAGATTGAATCATATTGTATGACAATACTAGATCAATATATCTCAGGTCTAAGATAGGCAATAAGACAATTAGAGGAAGAAACAACGCCAATAATTTTCAATATGAAAAATCCCTCTATAAGAGGGAAAAATTACCAAAATTAGAATAACTTTTTAGTATGAGTATTTTATGATTTTTTTTTTCTTAGACGAAAGTCTTAGCTGAATTTTTTCAATGAAAACGTATTTAAGGATTTTTTTTTTCAAATTGCCATCTCTTTTAATTTATCTTTTTTTATTTTTATATTAAATTTTGTTTAAAAATTATCAATAATTTAAATATCTTTTTATTTACAATATAAATTTTTTATTAAAAATCTAAATTATAATTTATATGTTGAAAAATATTTATATAGTATGAATTTTAAATACATTTTAAAGTATTTATTTATTATCTTATAACTTTATAAAATAAATATATATCTTCTACATTGCAGAGACTGAAATAATAGATAAATTAAACCTTCAACAATGTAGTAAGATTACAATAACTTTTGCTTATCAATTTGGTTGTCTCTTTCATTTGTTTATCGAAATATCATGAATTCCTATTTGATTTTTGTAAACATAGTTCTTATTTGATGTCATTTTTGAGAGGGATGCAGATAAAGCTGAAAAGGAGTTGAGTAGCACTAAGTTTAATTTAGTTTAATTTTACTTGATAACATTTGGCTTAACTTACATATTCACTCAAGTTAAAAATGAACATTATTTTTCAATTTAAACTCAACTCAATTCAACTTATTAGCTTATTAGGTCGAATCACATGAATCAAGACTTTATATTTTAAAAAAATTATACATTTCAAAATTTTAATTTAATAATAGATTTTAGATTAAATGATTATTTTTTTAAAAGATAAAACATAACTTATTTTTATTAATTTTGTAAGATTATAAGGTAGGACTCTAAAGAAATATTATTATAACTAAAGTTTGTATAAATTAAAACTACTTCACCTTGCATGAATTCTAAAGTAATTTTCCAAATTTTTCAAATTTTTATAAATTAAAATTAAATAGAAAGTTAATTAAATAAAGTGTATATTTATATATTGAGTTGATTCATGAACTATATGAACCAACCTATACATAAGTTAATTCAATCTTTAATTTAAATTTAGCTTATTTAATTCATAAACGAAATTCAACGAATTAATTATCAAATCGAGTTTCTAACTTATTTTTAGTTTGATAGTTTTATTGTCACCTTAGATGCAGTATATAGTTAATTTAATCTCCCCTGCCCAAACCGTTTTCTATTTATTGTATATCACCTTTCAATTTCTTAATGCAAGATTATATTGACTAGTTGAAATTACACTTGGTGGAAGCAGGTTAAGCAAACTAAATGACTAGTTCTGGGTGGTTTTGTTGGGACATTTTCCATGGTTGGTTGGTATGATTCTGATTTAACCTGCTTTAGTGTTAGGTAAGTGTGTACTGGGGTTGGCCTAATTTCACTTATTTGAAGGAGTTGGCCTAAATTCAACAAGCTCTTCTACACTACACTTGTACCTTTTCTTTTTGTTACATTCATAGGAAATTTATTTAATTAATAAAATACAAATTGTTCCCACGACTAGTACCTAGGTTCAAACAGATTATTTATAAAATAGAAATACCCTCAAAATACTTCTAACATATGATGTGATAGTTGGCGTATGACATACGTTCACACTTAATATATTGTGTGTTTGCTTTTACGTTCGATTTAATTGAACAATAATCTATCTTTCCTCTTACTTCTATGTTTCTGTCTTAAAAAAAAAAAAAAACTTTGTTGAACAGTGTTGAAACGATAAAACAAATACATTCTAAAATATAATAAATTTTAATTTTAATCTTATGATTTAATAAAATAAAAAAAATTCAACTGACGATATCTGTAAAGTTTAACTTATAACTATAAATGGTCAAAATCCTGTAAATGCACGTCATATGTATACGCAAATGACATATTGATGTATAAAAATTCGTGTTGTACATAAAAAAAATTTAAATAAATTCAGTGACAAATTGAGTTTCATGTAATTTCAAAATTTCATCTTCATAAAAGTAATGATCATAGATAACTAATAAAAAAAATTGTTCTTGACACGTAAAAGAAAAATGGTGAAAACTAGCCTGTGAGCAATCTAGAATTTTTTTTTTCTTTATGTATACCAAAAGTCAAAGTGAAATTTATCTCCTTCAACAAATTACTTTTCATATATACAATTAAGAAATGAACTTTGGTCCATATGAATAAGTGATATTGTATACCAACTAATACCGGATTTTATTGATGCTTAGGATTTTTATCTAAAAATTTAAATATATTTATAATATTTATAAAATTGTTTAGTTTTGATTTTAGTCTCATTAAATTTTTTTATTTATTTTTCTTTCCTTTAAACTTAAGTTTTATTTAAATATTAAAATATTTTATTCATTTTTTTATAAAAGCATACATGTATATAAGGAGTTGATTGAAATCATCGACACGTAAAAACTAAAAACTAATGGTAGTTTCTTTTCATTAAATTTTTTATTTATTTTTCTTTCCTTTAAAATTAAAATATCAAAATATTGTACCATCTTTTATAGTGATTAAAATTGAATTCACTCACTTTACATAAACTAAAAATATATTTAAATCTTATTTAAACATCAAAATATTGTATTTGCTTTTTTCATTTCATAAAAGCATACCTAAGGAGCAAATGGAGTTCTGTGAGAACGGGTAATAAGGTATTTATACCCATTCCGTCAATTAAAGATTCATCTGGTATCCACCTCATAATTGTGAATATATTTATTAAGCGAGTATCTATAAATTTTATAAATATCTTCAAATATTTATGGATATTTATGAATTTTTTTTCAAATTTAAAAAATATTATAAATAATTCTAAACTTATGTTTGATATTAAATATATTAAAATATTAAAGATAAACAATTCATATTAATTTTTGAACTTGTAATTAATGATAATATTTTTTAAAATTATTAAAAGTAATATAACAAATATAAGATAAAAAAAATATTTAAGTAACATTATCCATTAAGATATTTATTTATTATTCGTGACAGTTTTTATATACATATACTCAAATTTGGATAATTTTGTCATCCCTAAACATACCGGTGTATAAGGAGTTGATTGAGACATTCATTGACGTATAAAAACTAGCACTAGTTTTTTCCCCTGTTTTTCCATCATTTTCATTCATTTTCTTTTCTTCCATTTCTCTGTTTTATTAACTTTTACTTTTACCACCATATATCTTTTTTTCTTTGTTAAGAGTAGCACGTTACCCTCTTGAGTACTAAGTTTTAATCTCCAAGATTAAATCTTAAGGAAATTAAGGTTAACCATTAAGTTATTGATCTAGAGCAAAATGGTTTTGTATAATTGTACCTATATACTTGTGACATCTATTTGTGATCATTTCAAATCTTTTCCCTTTGTTTTTAGCAAACCAAAAGGACATTAAAAAAATAATCCGTTGAATTAATCTATTCTAAAATAAGTATTATTTTTAAAATTTTCAAATATAATTATTTTCCGTAATTGAAAATGGAAACAAACACATTACACATGCCAACTAAATTTTTCCAAAATGTTACGCAAACAAGCTCAACATTTTCAATGAAAAACTACATCGTGAAAAGTGATGTGTGAACAACTTAGAGTTTTATCTAAATGTCCAAATACGTACTTTTATTTTTCCATTTTATTTAATTTGGGGAAGAGGCTTATATACCCCTTTTGTTTTCTGTAAGGAACCGACAATGACTTTCGTTGACATACAGGCCAAAACTAATGTTAGTTTTTTCTGTTGCTTCATCATTTTCATTGATTTTTTTTTCTTCTGTATCATAATCTTTTTTACTTTTCACATGAATATCTTTTTCATGTTAATAACCTTTTACTTTGTCATGAATTATTCCTTCATTGTTAAGTGTTCTAATATCGAAAACAAACAAGTCTCACATCAATAAAATAAGAGAAGAAATAATAATTTATAAAATACAAACATATTCTAATGGAAGAGAGATTTTTTGGGTGATGACAAAAAATAAAATTGTGAGGGTTTAGGTTCAAAACGAATAATATTTCATCATTTTAAAGTTGTGTGTGAAATAACTTTATAAAATTATTCTTATAAAATATTTTCTCAGATAAATATCATAAAATAATTCCATTATTCAAAAATCGTCATCCAAAAACCAGCTCTACTCAATTTTATCTACTTGCTAAACTAGTTTTACAAATAAGTTAAACTAATCATTAATCTCTACAAGTTATACCCATTTAGGAATTAGTTGCAAAGTGATGTTTTATTCCTTATACATTAGTCCCTGTTTTTATTATGTTTCAAAACTATTAGTAAAAAGTAAAAACTCGGTCATGCTTGCAAAACATATAATATAAAGCTTGAACAACCTACTAATTAAATCAAATAACATAGTCACAATGTAAGGATTATGAATTAGTTGTAATACTTTTACAATTATATTTATTAAATACATATATATATATATATATATATATATATATATATAAACACTTCAGATCTTCAACAAATTCAATTATGTAGAGAAACTGAATTCCATTTCTTTAAATAAAATCTTAAATTCAAGTTTTATGAATGTTCTGATTTGCCTAAAAGTCTTATATCGCTTAAGAGTTCAGGTTAAGGATAGTTTATAGACACCCTCTCTCCTTAACCCACCGAGTCGCCATTTTAAAGACAAAACTATAACAGTCAAACGAGCGACAAATTGTAACTTACAGTCATAACATTGACACTAGAAGGAGGGCAAGAGTGAACCAACGCGGACAATACCTCGAATGCGATGACCTTAATGATGATAGCGGACTTACGATCAAAATAATAAATAAAAAAAATATAATTAAGATATTACTAAAAGTAATTAGTCAGATTTTTCAGTGAAAATTAATCATCAATAAAAATGGTGAAACTTCGTGCCAATAACTTAAGAATAAAAATAATTCAATTAGTCGCCTAATACTTCCACCTGTTATGGTTGATGATGGATCAAGTTTAACAATTCTAAACATGAAACTTAATTCAAAACCGAAACAATCAAGCCTAAGATATTGAATAAAGACAAAAACGTCTAGTGATAGCACGCAACAGACACAAAACCAAAGAATTACAAAAGAATAATGATTTTGGCAACGTCATATCAGAGGTGGTAGGTTCCAATTTGGCAAATGGTTGCGCCTCAATTCAACCGTGCAAACTTAACGCGTTGAATAAAACCATACACGTCCCATTAACAATGCCATTGCCATCATCATCAAATACCCAAACTTCAATTCCTTTTCCAACACACCATTAACATTAATGTTAATGCCACTCATCATTGCCATCTCCATGTCCTAATTGCTTATGCTTTCATTCACTCTCACATTCATTCACAACACACCACAAAAACCATGCATCTCACTCACCTGTGCCTTATCATGGCCTCAGATTATGATAAACTAGAGCCACTTCACGCAACCCCACAACCCCAAAAGAAAGTTAAGGCCAAAAAACACCTTCATGGGGCATGTGGAGGCCATGTTGTTGCTTCCCTTCATGGTTCTTTGACCAAGTTGTGTGACACAAGGTGGTGGAACAACCTATGCCAACATGGGGCAAGAGAAACCAAGCAGCTCAAGAGTTCTTGTGTGTTTCATGACATGGAGGGTGTGCAACTTTTTTCCAAGATTGGAAGGGATAGCAACAATCCAAGGATTTTCAGCTATGCTGAGCTTTACATAGGTTCGAGGGGTTTCTCTGAGGAAGAAGTTCTGGGGAGTGGAGGGTTTGGCAAAGTGTACAAAGCTGTTATGCCTAGTGATGGAACAGTTGTGGCCGTGAAGTGTTGCTTGGCAGGGAAAGGTGGCCAATTTGAGAAGACTTTTGCTGCGGAATTAGCAGCAGTGGCACACCTTCGCCACAAGAACCTTGTTCCCTTGAGGGGTTGGTGTGTTTTCGAGGATCAGCTTTACCTTGTGTATGACTACATGCCCAATCTCAGCCTTGATCGGGTGCTATTTCGTAAGAACTTGAAGGAGGGGGAACTTGGATGGGTGAGGCGTGGGAAGATTGTGAAGGGTTTGGCAGGTGCATTGCACTATTTGCATGAACAGTTGGAGACTCAAATCATTCATAGGGATGTGAAGACCAGCAATGTGATGCTTGATTCACACTACAATGCTAGGTTGGGTGACTTTGGCTTGGCAAGGTGGCTAGAGCATGAGCTTGAGTACGAGTATGAGACAAGGAAAGTATCATCAACATCAAGCAAGTTTGAGCATTTCAGGATGAGTGAGACCACAAGGATTGGTGGCACAATAGGGTACTTGCCCCCTGAGAGCTTCCAGAGAAGGAGCATTGCTACCTCAAAATCTGATGTGTTCAGCTTTGGGATAGTTGTGTTGGAGGTGGTGTCTGGCAGGAGGGCCATTGATCTCACATACCCTGATGAGAAAATCATTTTGCTTGATTGGGTGAGAAGGCTTAGTGATGAAGGGAGGCTTGTTGGTGCTGGGGACACAAGGCTTATGGATGGTTCCTACATGGTTTTTGAGATGGAGCACATGATTCATGTAAGCCTCTTGTGCACACTCCATGACCCTCAATTGAGGCCAAGCATGAAGTGGGTTGTGGAAGCACTTTCTGACATGTCAAACAAATTGCCAAGACTCCCTTCATTCCACTCCCATCCCATGTATATCTCTTTGTCCTCCTCTTCTGAGACTAGTCCTAGCACCACAAAAGGAACTGGCTCAGGCTCAGCAACAGAAAATTCTAGCAATCATACTTTTTCCAAATCCAAATATGTCACAGCCACAGGAGAGACTATATATGTGACTGCTGAAGTTGAACAAAGGAACAGTGGAATTAGCCCTTCTAAGAAGAGAATGCATCATCAGTCTTCATTTAATGTGGTGGAAACACCTAGGGAGATACCATACAAGGAGATTGTGTCAGCCACAGATAACTTCTCAGAGTCCAAAAGGGTGGCTGAGCTAGACTTTGGAACAGCCTACCATGGCATCCTTGATGGCCACTACCATGTCATGGTAAAACGCCTTGGCTTGAAGACATGCCCTGCATTGCGCCAGAGATTCTCCAATGAGCTCAGGAACTTGGCAAAACTTCGCCACAGGAATTTGGTGCAGCTTAGAGGGTGGTGCACTGAGCAAGGAGAGATGCTTGTGGTGTATGATTACTCTGCTACAAGAATCCTGAGTCACCAACTTCACCATCACAACAACAATGGTACTAAAAGTGGCTATTCTGTACTCAAATGGCAACATAGGTATAGCATAGTGAAATCACTTGCATCAGCACTTCTCTATCTGCACGAGGAATGGGATGAGCAAGTCATTCACAGGAACATAACCTCTTCAGCAGTGACTCTTGAACCTGACATGACCCCAAGACTAGGTAGTTTTGCTCTGGCTGAATTTTTGTCAAGGAATGAGCATGGTCATCATGTGATCACCACAAGGAGCAAGTCGGTTTGCGGGATTTTTGGCTATATGTCGCCGGAATATGTGGAATCCGGCGAGGCAACCGCAGCTGCTGATGTTTATAGTTTTGGTGTGGTGGTGCTTGAGGTTGTAAGTGGACATATGGCTGTGGATTTTAGGCAACCTGAGGTGCTATTGGTAAAGAAGGTTCATGAATTTGAGATGAGAAAAAAACCACTTGAGGCATTAGCAGATATAAGACTAAATGGAGAGTACAATTACAAGGAACTAGTGAGGTTGGTAAGGTTAGGAGTTGCATGCACTCGTTCTGACCCTAAGTTAAGACCAAGCACCAGACAGATAGCAAGCATTCTTGATGGCAATGACAAATTAATCATGGGGGAGAGCATGGAGAGCAGGGAAGAATGGAGAGAAAGAAATGATTGCTCTTTGTCACTGGTTAAGAGAATCCAAGCTCTGGGAATACAATGAGAAGTTGCATAAGAAAACAAAGGAACACAATGGACAATGATGATTGTAACACAGAGAAAGCTTGTTTGTAACATATAGTTTTTTCTACATTGTATCTTCGTGATTTTGCTATTTTTCATAGGGTTGGTCATAACTGAACCAAATTGAAGGGAGCAATCTAGGTTGGTTTGTAACATATATAATGGGAAATGATGATTTGTAACTTAAAGAAATGTGGTTTGTAACATTGAGAATGTTTTCGCTACATTGTGCTTTGGCTATTTTTCAGCTTGTAGCTATGCTTGATTTTGTATAACAGAGAGAAGGTTAATGCATTAGTATATTTTTCTGCTAAAGCAGGACTTACCCTATATATAGATGTAAAGGCTCATCTATAATTTTCAGTGTCATGAACAAATTGTATACATTTTTGTCATAAAAATTTCAAGAGAATGAAGCAAAAAGATTCTGATCTGAGCAAATTCAAGGTTATACACATTCAATACAAAGTAACATCAAACAGTCTTCTTCTGTGTGTGCATTATAACTCTTCCTGTGACATGTTAGTATTCTTCCACATCAATCCCAACTATATTGATGAAACTGAAATGGGGTGAAACCGTGAAAGTGACCTACATGTTCTTGAACCAATCCATTTCTTCTGTGTGCAATATTAACAGAAGGGAAGTCAAAGCATGTAAATAAAAAGAATGAGGAAAGAAAAATGAAACATTATTAATTACTCCAGGCTTTGTTATCGCCTCCTTTGATGCATGATGTCATGTGATCAGAGTGATTAATTAATAAGACTTTATCATTTTAAAGATTAAGTAGAAGAGCACAATATTGAGTTTCTAGTAGATGAATGAGACATAGGCATGGGAAACAATAAATTGAGTCAATAATACATCATTTGGTTGTGTTATCTGGTCCCTAACAGTTTTTGTTGATATAAATTAGTCTTTGACTGATGAAATTGTTTACGAATTAACACCCAAGTAAGATAAACTTTTCAGCAAATCTACACTTGGGGAACTGATAGACTAGCACTTTCAAAAAACAAAGCAACAAGAATTGTCAAATTTAAGGACCAAACTGTACATTAACTTGCAATAAATTCATTATTTTGTATTCACTTGCATCCATCAACATCACAGTAATTAAAAATATGAAGATAAAAAATACTTACGCGCATAAAGCAACCAATCAGCTAAACAAGTCGATAGTTTAAACACGAGAAATCATATTAACTTCCTTTTCTTCCGCATTCTATCAATTTACCAATTGTTAGTCTACATATAATAAATAAATATGTTGTACACCAAAATATATATTTTAATATATATATATATATATATATATATATCATTGTA